CCTGTCTCAGCCTCCCAGAGTGCTAGGATTAGAGCCATGAGCCACCACGCCCCACCCACTTTGCTTTTTTCTGAATCCTAAAGAAAATGCATGATCTTGTTTGTTTTTATAGAGTTGGTCAATCAGTGCTCATTGAACGCTCATGAAAGGAAGAGAACCATATTAAAAACTGCTGTTTTCTTATGACATTGACTAATGCTAAAATCTGTCTTTTTTCTCTCCTCCCCTCCCCTCCCCTCTCTTCTCCACCCTTCTCCCCTTCTCTCCTCTTTCCTCCCCTTCCCTCCCTATGCACTGCAGCCTCAAATTCTCTCCTCTCAATACTCTCCCCTCAGCCTCCAGAGTAGCTGGGACTACAGACACACCACTGCACCAAGCTATGCTTATAATCTTGATTTATAGAGATAGTCTCACTCTGTCACCAGGGTGGAGTGCAGTGGCACAGTCAGTGCTCTCCACCCTCAAACTCCTGGGTTCAAGTAATGCACCAGCCTCAGCCCGGGTAGCTATTACCACCATGCCCGGCTTATGCTTAAAGTTCTTGATGTTGGCTTTTGTGGTGCTTTTCTAATTTATCTTTGTGACCTTCTATTTTCTTGTCTGTTACCAGCTTTTAACCATAAATATCAGTTGAGGCTCGATTTATAAGCCATTATTTTCTAACCTTTCACTTCTTCATTTGGGAATCATCTATATTAATTTGAGCTATCTCCAGTGAAATTTCGACAACCCCATCTTTAGTCCTAGTATTACAGTGCTAACAGAAAATGAGTAACCAGTTTCCCCAGTATCAGATCTTTCAAGAGATGAGTGGTCTTTTTCTTTTTAAAGTTATTTCTCATTATTGTCTGATTTCCCTGCTCAAAACATGGGTGATTTTATACATACCAGCTTGCCCACACATTTGATCTATCTACAGAAGTAGTTTGCTTGCTCATGGTTTGTTCATTCCAGACTTTGTGCCTTTGCACATACCATCACCTCTAATTCAGCAGTCTTTGTCCTTTTCCTTCAAAGCCTAATTCAAATGTTTTGTCATGTGACTTCTTCCTTAATTGACCATACATATCTGGTCAATTTATTTGTTCTTAGTCTCATCACCCAGTCAATATCTATATGTTTAATACTAGTCAGTACTCATTCAGTGAGTTTCTAGATGATTATTATATTGGAAAAGATATCCAAACCTTTGAAGTTAGCTAGATTCAATGTAGCAAAACTCTTGTATAATAACACATACCCTGAAATTGTTATAGCAGTAATTGACCTTAATTTTCTCTTTGTAAATATATTGCTGCAAAAAACATATTTCGTCTCAGAAATTATCAACAAAGTTGTAGAGTCTACAGAGACAATAAGTGTTTTTCTACAAGGTAGTATCAAAGGGTGCCTCGGGTTTTTTTAAAAATCTGTCCATCTGATGATTTAAAACATCAAATAGGCGGAGCGTGGTGACTCATGCCTGTAATCCTAGCACTCTGGGAGGCTGAGGCGGGAGGATTGTTTCAGCTCAGGAGTTTGAGACCAGCCTGAGCAAGAGCGAGACTCCATCTCTACTAAAAAAAAATAGAAAGAAATTAACTGAATAACTAAAAATATATATATAAAAAATTAGCCGGGCATAGTGGCGCATGCCTGTAGTCCCAGCTACTTGGGAGGCTGAGGCAGGAGGATCGCTTGAGCCCAGCAGTTTGAGGTTACTGTGAGCTAGGCTGATGCCACGGCACTCACCCGGGCAACAGAATGAGACTGTCTTAAAAAAAAAAAAAAAAAATCAAATAGTTTTAACAATAACAAAAAATAGTTGATACAATCCCCAATTTTTATTCCCCAGAGGCCCCAGTTTCAAGTCTTTTTGTCTGATTTTCTTTTATTTGGTATTATCTGTTGACTTTCAACTGTCAAAGTTGACAAGTTAGCCCTCTTTATTCCCTCATTTCACATACACAGAAGCTTCCTTTTTCTTCTTCCAGTAGCACAATAAAAGTTTATTTTTTCCTCACATAAAGTTCAATACTGGTGTTTGTGGCAATGTGGTTATTCAGGATCAGGGCACTGGTTCTCAAAATGTGATCCAGGGACCCCAGAAGAGTTCCCAAGATCTTTTAGGGAATCTGTAAGATCTAAAATATTTTTGTTACAGTATTATGATCTTATTTTTGTTTTTCACTCTTATTCTTTCACAAGTATATGTGGGTTTTTCCAGTAGCTATATGACATGTAATGATTTAATCACACTGATAGCTCATGAAATGTATGCTTATGTGTTCCTGTGTTTTCTAGAATTTTCTAAGGTAAGAATACATCAATAGATTGAATGCAGAAGCAGATATGAAAATTCACCTGTGTTCTATTAAATTACATATGAAAGAACTTTGCAAAAAATAAAAGTTATGTTATAGAAAAAGTTATTTTTCTCTAAAAATATGTATTGGGTTTATTGACTTTTTTTTCAGTAAACTGAACAAATGTTGATAACTGGTTTAGTTAGAAATAGATAATAGATTCTATGGTGCTTGCTTCAGCAGCACATATACTAAAATTGGAACAATACAGAGAAGATTAGCATGGCCCCTGTGCAAGGATGACACTCAAATTCATGAAGTATTCCATATTTTTTACAATGGAATACTACTTAATAATAAGAAATGACAGTGATCTAGCACCTCTTATATTTTCCTGGATTGAGCTTGAGCCCGTTATCTGAAGTGAGGTATCACAAGATCGGAAGAATAGGCTCCACTTGTACTCAGCATCAAATTGGCCCTGACTGATCAACACTGTGGTGCTAACATGGTAGCATATTCCCCAGGGATTAGGGGGTTGCGGAGAGGCCGAGGTAAACTCACAACTAATGGACGAGGTGAGCATTGTAGAGGGGAAGCCGTGCCTCTAATCCTCGCTTGGGTGAGGCAGTGACATAAAAACGTAACCAAAATGTTTGTGCCCTCATAACATCCTGAAAAAAAAATAAAAAATAATAAATAAATAAATTGATTCTATCATATTTTAGAATATCACTTATTTTGAAATTGAAAAGAACCCTTTTCCTTAAATATCTTTCATTTGGCATGTTGTGGTTTAGGAAGTGTTTGGTATTTGATAGTAGAATATTAAAGCCTTCACGAGTTTCAACCCCATTTGCCAGAATTTTGTCAGCCCTATATTCATTCTCAGGAGAAAAAAAAAAAAAAAAACTTATATCAAGAGTTTTAGACTGGGTACAATGGCTTATACCTATAATCCTAGCACTCTGGGAGGCCACAGTGGGAGGATTGCTTAAGGCCGGTAGTTCAAGATAAGCCTGGACAACATAGCAAAACCCCATCTCTACAAAAAAGAAAAATTAGCCAGGCGTGGTGACACATGCCTGTAGTCATAGCTTCATGTGAGGCTGAAGCAGGAGATGACTGGACCCAGGAGTTGGAGGTTGCAGTGAGCTATGATAATGCCACAGCACTCTAGACCAGGCAATACAGAGAGACCCTGTCTCAAAAAAAAAAGTTTCAGGCCAGGTGCGGTGGCTCACACCTGTAATCCTAGCTCTCTGGGAGGCCGAGGCGGGCGGATTGCTAGAGGTCAGGAATTCAAAACCAGCCTGAGCAAGAGCGAGACCCCGTCTCTACTATAAATAGAAATTAATTGGCCAAGTAATATATATAGAAAAAATTAGCTGGGCATGGTGGCACATGCCTTTAGTCCCAGCTACTCGGGAGGCTGAGGCAGAAGGATCGCTTGAGCCCAGGAGTTTGAGGTTGCTGTGAGCTAGGCTGACGCCACGGCACTCACTCTAGCCTGGACAACAAAGCGAGACTCTGTCTCAAAAAAAAAAAAGTTTCAGCCAGGCATGGTGGCATGTGCCTCTAGTCCCAGCTGCTGGGGAGTTTGAGGCTGCAGTGAGTTGTAATCACGCCATTACATTCCAGCCTGAGCAACAAAGCAAGACCCTCTCTCAAAAAACAAAACAATAAGCCATCCAACTTTTCACAGAAGCGTAAAAAAGAAAAAAAAAAAAAAAACAATAAGCCAGGCACGGTGGCTCACATCTCTAATCCTAGCATTCTGGGAGGCCGAGGCAGCGGGATTGCTTGATGTCAGGAGTTCAAGACCAGTCTGAGCAAGAGTATATAAAAACACCATATTCCTGGCCGGGCGTGGTATCTCAAGCCTGTAATCCTAGCACTCTGGGAGGCTGAGGCGGGCAGATCGCTGGAGGTCAGGAGTTCGAAACCAGCCTGAGCAAGAGCGAGACCCGTCAATACTATAAATAGAAATTAATTGGCCAAGTAATATATATAGAAAAAATTAGCTGGGCATGGTGGCACATGCCTTTAGTCCCAGCTACTCGGGAGGCTGAGGCAGGAGGATCGCTTGAGCCCAGGGGTTTGAGGTTGCTGTGAGCCTAGGCTGACGCCACGGCACTCACTCTAGCCTGAGCAACAAAGCAAGGCTCTGTCTCAAAAAAAAAAAAAGCCGCCATATTCCTGAAGGATTCAAAGTAGTTGATGTTCTGCTGCATGTGTTAAGATATTTTGGAGGGTATAACATTATCTAGTAAAAAGGCTTTGATCATTATAAACTCTCCATAGTTAACCGAAATCAAAGGAAGAAATAAGAATTTGTGAGAAGTTAAACTCAAATTTAGATCTACATTTTTGGCTAAAAGGGAATTTTTCTTTTTTAAGACTATCAAAAACCTTTAAATGCATTGTACTGATCTTCAGGACTATGGTCTCTAACCATAATATTTGGAATACATTCAGAAAATTCAACAAACACCTAAAGTAAATGATACTTTTTTGCCTAAACTTTATATTAATTTCTTAATAAGATATCAGAGGCGTTAACATGGTATAAGGAATTCACCTACAGATACTGATTCAAAGATTCAAACAGCACACTGAGGAACAACACTAAGAGAATTTCAGTCATCAGTTATGAGTCTCAGTTCATTATTAATTTGGTTATTGATTTTTTTCTATTCTTCTTTCTTTCCATAGGTTTGTAAAAGAATGGACTTGGTCTGCCAGAGAATGTTGAATCAGGGATTTCTGAAAGTAGAGAGATACCATAATCTATGTCAGAAACAAGTTAAAGCACAACTCCCAAGGTATGTTATCGTATTAGCAATGACGATAATTTACAGTTGAGGGTTTTGTTTGTTTCTTGATTTTTTCTTTTAATCTCAGGGTTTACATGGTCATTGATTTTCAAGTTTTTGTAGCAGAAAGCACTATGTGATTTCTACTGTGATTTGTCTACTCTCACCATTTTGCTGAATATTTTACTGGAGGTTCTAATGAAGGAAATTAGGCAAGAAAATGAAATAAAAGGCATCCAAATGGGAAAGGAAGGAGTAAATCTCTCTCTCTCTCATATTCAGATGATATGATCTTGTATATAAGGAACACACTAATTGATTATTAAGGCTGATAAGTTCAGCAAGAATATAGGATATAAGTTCAATAGACAGAAATCAATTGGATTTCTATATACTAGCAATGAACAATCTGAAAGTGAAATTTAAAAGACAGTTTTATTTGCAGTGGTGTCAAAAAGAATAAAATGCATAGTAATAAATATAACAAAAGAAGTGTGAGAACTTATACACTGAAAATTATAAAACATTGAAAAAAATTAAGGGAGACTTAAATAAATGGAAAGATATTCTACGTTCATGGATTGGAAGACTTCATATTGTTAAGATGGCAGTACTCCCCAAGTTAATCTAAACATTCAGTGCAGTCCCTGTCAAAATCCCAGCTGTGTTTTTTTTTTTTTGCAGAACTTGACACACTGATCCTAAAATTCTTGGGAGAATATAAGAGACTGAGAATAACCAAAGCAATCTTGAAAAAGGAGAACGATGTTGGAGGACTAACACTTCAAAATTTCGAAACTTACTACAAAGTTATAATAATCAAAACAGTATGGTACTGGCAAAGGAATAGACATCTAGAGCAACAAACTAGAATTGAGAGTCTGAAAAAAAACCCTTATATTTTTAGTTGATTTCAACAAGGATGCCAAGACAATTCAGTCGGGAAAAGAATAGTCTTTTCAACATATGCTGGGACAAGTGGGTCTCTACATGTAAAAGAAAGGAATTAGACTACTTCCTCACACCACATACAGAAATCACCTGAAAAGGAATCATAGACCCAGTGTAAATGTCAGCCCTGTACTATAAAACCCTTAGGAAAAAACAGAGTAAATCTTCATGAACTGGAATCAGGCAATGGTTTCTTAGATATGACACCAAAAGCACAAATAACAAAAGAAAAAAGCAGGCAAATTGGACTTCCTCAAAATTTAAAACTTCAAGCTGAGCACAGTGGCTCACACCTATAATCCCAGCACTTTGGGAGGCTAAGGCAGGAGGATCACTTGAGATGAAGAGTTAAAGACCAGCATGGCAAAATAGTAAGGCCTTGTCACTACAAAAAATTTTTTTAACTTTTGTGGCTCAAAGGATGCCATTAAGAAAGTGAACACTGGCCGGGTGCGGTGGCTCACGCCTGTAATCCTAGCACTCTGGGAGGCCGAGGCGGGCGGATTGTTCAAGGTCAGGAGTTCGAAACCAGCCTGAGCAAGAGTGAGACCCCGTCTCTGCTATAAAATAGAAAGAAATTAATTGGCCAACTAATATATATATGTAAAAAATTAGCTGGGCATGGTGGCGCATGCCTGTAGTCCCAGCTGCTCGGGAGGCTGAGGCAGAAGGATCGCTGGAGCCCAGGAGTTTGAGGTTGCTGTGAGCTAGACTGACGCCATGGCACTCACTCTAGCCTGAGCAACAAAGCGAGACTCTGTCTCAAAAAAAAAAAAAAAAAAAAAAAAAACCACCAGGAGATAATGCTTTATACCCCCAAGAATGGCTAAAATAAAAAAGACACAAAATGTTGGGGAGAATGTGGAAAAATTTGAATCTTCACATGTTACTGGTGGGAATATAAGATGACGCAGCCACTTTAGAAAACAGTTTGGTTATTTTCAAAAAGTTAAGCATAGAGTTATATGACCCAGCAGTCACTGCTAGGTGTATACCTAAGAGAAATGAAAACATACATCCACCCAAAACCTCGTACCCAGATGTTTTTAGCAGCATTATTTATAATAGCCAAAAAGTAGAAACAACCCAAGTGTCTATCAGCTGACGAATAGATAAACAAATGGATGGTATATCCATGTAATGGAATCCATGCAATGAAAGGTACATGCTACAACATGAACGAACCCTGAGAACTATACTAAATGAAAGAAGCTAGAAACAAGGCCACATAGTATATAATTCCATGTATCTGAAATGTTCAGAATAAGCAGATCCATAGAAACAAAGTAGATTAGTAGTTGCCAAGAGCTGGGAGAATGGAAGTGACTGATAATGGTTACAGGCTTGCTTTTTGTGGTCATGAAATGTTCTGAAATTTAATAGTGTTAGTAGTTGTACAACTCTGAATATACTAAATATCACTAAATTGTACACCTTAAAATAATTTTACTATATGTGAATTATTTCTCAAATACTTAAAAAAGCTTAAAGGTGCTATATTTTATGGGCAAAAACACATAGTCTCTTGCCCGTATGTACATGAGTAATTCTTTCATTTATATAATTTCTCTGATTCTAATAGCCTTTAGGCTTGATATAGCCAAAAAAACAAAACAAAACAAAAAAATTCTTTTTTAAAATAAATTTTCTAAATATTTTGTCAATGAATGCTAGTCATTGGCAAGGATTTCTGGGCATAGTGATTCATTCCTCATGACAGCTAAATCACAACCCAATTGCAGATTTCTAAACTAACATGTACAAGGCTAGTTCATTAAGGCATTTTGATTGCTTAACATTTTAGTCCATGGTATTGCTTTTTAATGGTTGCTTCTCTAAATTATTGTCATAGGAGAGAGTCAGAAAGGAGAAACCACTCATTAGCTCGTCATGCAGACATTCTTGCTGCTGTTGAAACAAGGCTGTCATTGTTAAATATGACTTTCATGAAGTATGTGGATTCAAATCTCTGTTGCTTCATCCCAGGAAAGGTAAAATAGAATTGTTTACCTAGAACAGCTGGATTGCCCTGTGTGAACGCATTATGGAGTTATAAAGTGATTTTTGAAATGTCAGAATTGTTTCTACTTCTCTGAATGAGTTTTTATGAATGGGTTTCTTTAGCTTCTATACAGTTATAAATATATATCATTTATGTGATCTTCATATTTAAAATTCTAAATAAGAAATATATAGTAGAAGTCCTAATTTTTTTTTTTTTTTTTTTTTTTTTGAGACAGAGTCTCACTTTGTTGCCCAGGCTAGAGTGAGTGCCGTGGCTCAGCCTAGCTCACAGCAAACTCCTGGCTCAAGCAATCCTCCTGCCTCAGCCTCCAAGTAGCTGGGACTACAGGCATGCGCCACCATGCCCCACTAATTTTTTGTATATATATTAGTTGGCCAATTAATTTCTTTCTATTTATAGTAGAGACGGAGTCTCGCTCTTGCTCAGGCTGGTTTCAAACTCCTGACCTCGAGTAATCCGCCTGCCTCGGCCTCCCAGAGAGCTAGGATTACAGGCGTGAGCCACCGCGCCCGGCCTATTTTTTATTTTTTGAGACAGAGTCTCACTTTGTTGCCCGGACTAGAGTGCCGTGGCATCAGCCTAGCTCACAGCAACCTCAAACTCCTGGGCTCAGGCAATCCTCCTAACTTAGCCTCCCGAGTAGCTGGGACTACAGGCATGCGCCACCATGCCTGGCTAATTTTTTCTATATATTTTTAGTTGTCCAATTAATTTCTATTTTTAGTAGAGATGGGGGTCTTGCTTTTGCTCAGGCTGGTTTTGAACTCCTGACCTTGAGCGATCCTCCCGCCTCAGCCTCCCAGAGTGCTAGGATTACAGGTGTGAGCCACCGCGCCCAGCCTGGCCTTATATTTTTTAGAGAAGGTTTTGTTAAGAGTTCGTACTCAAGAAAAAAAATTTGAGCTTTTACCTTTTGTTAAGATGCTGGATAACATAGGTATTGTCCCTGTCCCTGCCTTGAAGATTGTTATAATTTTGAGGGAAGTGGAACAGGAGGGACAAACTGGGTTTTGTTTTATTTGAGAAATGTTTCATAAAGACAGATAAAACTTTCAAATTTGACAAGAATAAAGAACTGCCGTCTGGGTGCGGTGGCTTCATGCCTATAATCCTAGCTCTCTGGGATGCTGAAGCAGGCAGATCACTCAAGGTCAAGAGTGCGAAACCAGCCTGAGCAAGAGTGAGACCCCATCTCTACTAAAAATAGAAAGAAATTCATTGGCCAACTAAAAATATATAGAAAAAATTAGCCGGGCATGGTGGCGCATGCCTGTAGACCCAGCTACTCGGGAGGCTGAGGCAGTAGGATGGCTTGAGCCCAGGAGTTTGAGGTTGCTGTGAGCTAGGCTGACGCCGCGGCACTCTAGCCAGGGCAACAGAGTGAGACTCTGTCTCAAAAAAAAAAAAGAATTGCCATATAGCAATGTTCTCAGAGCTAAGTAATAGTCCTCTTTAACACAGAAATAAGTATATTGTGGCATATTTACTTTTATTAATGAGAACCCCAGCTTTCAACATGCTACTTATATCTTCAGTAGTACCCCAGTTCTTGAATTAAGTATAAATTCAGATGAGTTATATCTATATTTTTCTTTATGGAAGTGGTAGAAATTAAAGGTCATTTTGCTACTTGGTTGATGCTAACAAAAGTTTCTCTTAACATGGTTGGAGCTAATTAATACCTAGTCAAATTTGAATGTTCTCTTTTTGTTATTTCCGTAGATAATTTACATTGGCAATATTTAATATGTATTTTCTCCATTTTCAGTTTTCTTTGACATTTATTCTGAGAGGGAATTCCATTTCTTATCATTTTATTTTGAAATATTCTTTGGGGCCGGGCACGGTGGCTCAGGCCTGTAATCCTAGCACTCTGGGAGACCGAGGCGGGCGGATCGCTGGAGGTCAGGAGTTCGAAACCAGCCTGAGCTAGAGCGAGATCCCGTCTCTACTATAAATAGAAACAAATTAATTGGCCAACTAACATATATGGAAAAAATTAGCCGGGCATGGTGGCGCATGCCTGTAGTCCCAGCTACTCGGGAGGCTGAGGCAGGAAGATTCCTTGAGCCCAGGAGATTGAGGTTGCTGTGAGCTAGGCTGACACTATGACACTCACTCTAGCCTGGGCAACAAAGTGAGACTCTGTCTCAAAAAAAAAAAAAAAAAAGAAATATTCTTTGGTATATCTCGGTTTTCCTCACATAACCTTTTTGTAGGGTATGATAAAAGGGTGACCACTTTGAAACCTTAAATTCTGATTCTTATGCCATATTTTATCCAAATCTGATTTATAAGTCTTGATGCTTAAGTGTTCCTGAAAAGTTTTTGAACCAGTATAGGCTATTTATAGCCTCATAGTTCTTTATTGTATATCTCATTGTTAATAATATGAATATTTAAGAAACATCTTAAATTTTCATGACTTCAAAGACAGGTCAGTTAACTAACAAATAACAAAGTTGAGTAGTTTGTGGCAGAGTTCATAGGGCCTGCAAAAGTTAAAATATTTAGTATCTGGCCTTAACAGAAGTAGTTGCCAATCTTTGTTCTGGTTGATCAGGCTCACATGATTGGAATGATGATCTTTATTATCAAAACAAATAAGGTGGCCAGGCACGGTGGCTCATGCCTGTAATCCTAGCACTCTGGGAGGCCGAGGCGGCCGGATTGCTCTAGGTCAGGAGTTCGAAACCAGCCTGAGCAAGAGCAAGACCTTGTCTCTACTATAAATAGAAACAAAATTAATTGGCCAACTAATATATGTAGAAAAAATAAGCCGGGCATGGTAGCTCATTCCTGTAGTCCCAGCTACTCGGGAGGCTGAGGCAGGAGGATTGCCTGAGCCCAGGAGTTTGAGGTTGCTGTGAGCTAGTCTGACGCTACAGCACTCACTCTAGCCTGGGCAACAAAGCAAGACTCTGTCTCAAAAAAAAAAAAATGTTTAAAAAACAACAAATAAGGTTAAAGCCAATTGAGTCCTGCTGTTTTTTGGAAACCACTTGATGATTTTTCACTTTAAAGTATAGTACCAGAATAAAAGAACAAAACTGAGGTGGAAGCAATGGAGAGCGTCTTAAGTTTTCAAGATGCAGTAGAGCTGCTTGAGCATTTGCTGTGGGCAGCTCTTTAAGTGCAGCCTTTACCTTGCCCGCCATACAAGAGCAGTTGGAAAGGAATTTTCGTACCTAACTTTACCTCTTGTCATTGCTGTATCTTATATATTACGAAGCACTTTCTAATTCTCAGAGCCCTTTCATATACATCATCTCATTTACTTTCCATCACAGCCATGTGTGGTGGATGCAACAAGTATTACAATTCCATTTCATTGATAAGAAAATGGAGGCCCAGAGAACTTAATGGATTTGCAGAAAGCTACACTCCAGTCTTCTGATTTCTCAATTGTCTTCTCTACTGTTTTCTTCTGTTTTACCTTGATAGGACCCATTTCTTCGCAAGAATCTATCCTAATTTTTCTTCTACAAACCTGCACTTGATTGGAAATCACCAAAAAAAACCCAATAATTTTTGTTTTTATTCAGATATGTGTCCTATCATACTTAATCAGCTTGGGTTATTTTTTCCTTAACCACATGGGCGCAGCCTCGCCCACAGCCGCGGCCGTCGGGCCGCGCGGCGTCTGTCTGCGCGTGGCCCCGGTCCGTCCTGCGCTAGTGTGCTGAGGAAAGCCTGGAAGCACCGGAGGCTTGTTTCACTTTACAGGCAGCTTTGCCTGTCGTGTCAGTCAGAATAGGTAACATGCACATATATGTTTTCAGTACGTTATTTTTATTTTTATTTATTTATTTTATTTTTTTGAGACAAAGTCTTAGTGAGTGCTGTGGCGTTAGCTGTTAGCCTTGCTCACAGCAACCTCAAACTCCTGGGCTCAAGCAATCCTCCTGCCTCAGCCTCCCGAGTAGCTGGGAGTATAGGCATGCGCCACTATGCCTGGCTAATTTTTTCTATATATGTTAGTTGGTCAATTAATTTCTTTCTGTTTATAATAGAGACGGGGTCTCGCTCTTGCTCAGGCTGGTTTTGAACTCCTGACCTCCAGCAATCTGCCCGCCTCGGCCTCCCAGAGTGCTAGGATTACAGGCGTGAGCCACTGTGCCCGGCCCATTATGTTATTTTTAAATGTTCAGAATTTTATTTGATAAATGAAAAATTAGAAAAGTCATATCACGGCTGTCAGCTAAAGACGCTGTGCGCGTTCCTCTGTGGCTGTCCACTATATTCGACGCTTGTACTGAAGTGGTTAAAAGTGCCTTCTTTGAGGTTGGGAGAGGGAAAAAAATAGAAACAAAAGTGCCTTTTTTATTGCTTATATCTTGTGTAAAACAACATCATGTATACTCAGAATATTACTTTTAATTTTTATATAGCTGGTACTTTGTAGCTTACGTAGACTAAATGAAACTGCTATCATAACACAGTTTGCAGTGTTTGGATTGTTATGACTGTTCCCCTTGTTGTACTTTATATCCTTAAACTTTTTACATTCTTTCTTAAAACATAAGGACGTGACATTTAATTTCCACATGCTGACAAAAGAACATTATACAAAATAGTTTTCCGTCGGTCTGGCATATGATCTTGGGTTAGTATACAGTTTCTGAGCTAGGTTATTCTTGTATTCCCCAAGATCTTGCCCCTGGGTTACACTTAAAAGTTCAGGGGCTTTTATATTAATACTTCGTTAAGATTACTCACTTTTGAGGTTTTCATTTTAATAGCAATACACATCCCACCTTATTCAAACTTTTGTGGTATTATGTAGGGTATATCTATTTTGTTAAAATTTAGGTTTAGGTCTACAGAAAGCATTTTATTTCACAAATTACTTAAGTGAATCTGGTAATAATGACAAGTGATAGCGACATTATAGTTTAAATTACATTGCCAGATACATACCAGAAGTTTGGACCTTAAAACTATAATTGGAAAAAAGGTATTTTTAAAATATTCTCTGAAAGAGCAATCAGATTTACTTTTAGTAGGTTAAAGATGACAGATTGAATATAGATTTTCCTCTAATTCCTCTCAAAAGCTCACTCAAATAGAAATGAGCTAATTTTAAAAAGGAAAAGAAAGAAACCCACATTATTGATGATACCAGGAGAAGAGACAATAGCAATAAAATTTTGCAAACTGGAAAGTAGAGGAACAAATGGTAACTGATTTAACAGAACTGAGAATGTTAAATTTTAAACTGACAGCAGGGAAAGCCAAGAAGTAATCCAGTCTGCACAACTGACAGCTCTAGGCACCTGTGAAAGTGGAACTGAAAACAGGAGGGTTGGTTGAGAGTCTGTATTTAAGAATGATTTAAACCTACAGGTCCCCTCTCCAATTGTAAACAAGGTAGATCATCGCCCTTCTACTCAGTGAAAACCAAAGGCTTATTCACTGGAGGAGTTAAAACGGGGTCTCTTGACAGGAAGACTGCATTTATAATGAGGACATTAGAGGAAAATCTGTGCAAAGAATTCAGAGTGATTGGGAATTTGCCACTATTATCTAAGGCAAAGATCAGTGAACTTCTATGGTAAAAGTCAAGATACAAAATATTTTTGGCTTATGGGCCATATGGTTTCCATCACAACTATTCAACTCTGAGAAACAGCCATGGACAGCCTGTGTTAAATAAATGGGTATGCCTGTGTTCCATTAAAACTTTATTTACACAAATAGGCACAGGCCAAATAGAGCCATAGTTGGCCAACCCTGACCACCACATTGATATTCCCTTCATCTTCTCTCAGAACTAAGATGTTATAGATTATTGGCTTACTCCTGTATGTTTCTTGAATCTTCTGTCTGACATATAGAAGTTGTACTTTTTTGGCCAGGCGTGGTGCCTCACGTCTATAATCCTAGCACTCTGGGAGGCCGAGGTGGGCGGATCGCTCGAGGTTAGGAGTTCGATACCAGCCTGAGCAAGAGTGAGAACTGTCTCTACTATAAATAGAAAGAAATTAATTGGCCAACTAATATATATAGAAAAAATCAGCCGGGCATGGTGGCGCATGCCTGTAGTGCCAGCTACTCGGGAGGCTGAGGCAGGAGGATTGCCTGAGCCCAGGAGTTTGAAGTTGCTGTGAGCTAGGATGACACCACGACACTCACTCTAGCCTGGAACAAAGTGAGACTCTGTCTCAAAAAAAAAAAAAAAAAAGTTGTACCTTTTTACAGTAAGCTCATTTCAATATCAGCAGTTCACACATATAGAGGCACAACTACATGTGAACACTGAGCAACCAACCATTCTGAGAAACAAAAAAATGAAAAAAGTGCCAGGCGCAGTAGCTCACGCCTGTAATCCTAGCACTCTGGGAGGCCGAGGTAGGAGGATTACTTGAACACAGGAGATTAAGACCAGCCCAAGCAAGAATGAGATCCCATGTCTACAAAAAATAGAAAAATTATCTGGGCCTTTTAGCGTGTGCCTGTAGTCCCAGCTACCCCCCAGGAACTTGGGAGGCTAAAGCAGGGCAATCATTGGAGCCCAGAAGTCTGAGGTTGCAGTGAACATTTTTTTTTTTTTTTTTTTTTTTTGAGACAGAGTCTCACTTTGTTGCCCAGGCTAGAATGCTGTGGCGTCAGCCTAGCTCACAGCAACCTCAAACTCCTGGGCTCAAGCGATCCTCCTGCCTCAGCCTCCAGAGTATCTGGGACTATAGGCATGCGCCACCATGCCTGGCTAAACTTTTCTATATATATTAGTTGGCCAATTAATTTCTTTTTATTTATAGTAGAGACGGGGTCTCGCTCTTGAGGCTGGTTTCGAACTCCTGACCTTGACCTCCCAGAGTGTTAGGATTATAGGCGTGAGCCACTGCGCCAGGCCTGCAGTGAACTTTGATGACACTGTTGCACTCTAGCTGGGCGACAGAGCAAGACTCTGTCTCCAAAAAAAGTAAAAAATAAATAAAAATGAAAAAAAGACATGAACTGTCCCTGTTCCTACTCATTGCTAGTAGCCCAGGTAACCTTGTTAGTGAAACATAGCAGTCTCCAAAAGTTAGGGATTTTACATTGTGAATGACTGTACAGTACTGAAACTGGATTTCCCTGAATAGACTTAAAATCTATATATTAGGTATTGTTGGTTTTTAATGTTTTGAGAGAGAAAACTGGTGGTGTTGTATTTTTTATTCCTAGTTTTATAATTCAAATTTACAAAAAATTGCAAGACTAGTACAGGGGACCTCTGCATATCTTTTATCCAAATTCAGCAATTTACTTTTGTCCCATTTACTTTTGTTCTTTATATATGCATTTATTTTTTCCTGAACCATTTGAAAATAAGTTGGAGACAATGTGCTCCTTGACTCCCAAATCAGTATATTTCCTAAGAACTAGAACACTCTTACTTAACCACAGTACAGATAGCAATTGGGGTTTAGAGAATTAAAAATAATGATTGGGTTGGGTTTGGGTAATCTCCAACCCCTACACTGGCTCCCATAACAATTTAATTTCTTAATTTAGTCCTCTAGTTTCTTTAGCAATTTGTATATCCCTCTTTGTATTAATATCACTTGTCTACACATGTTATCTCCCAGTTACATTGTGATTTATTTTAGGGTAGGAGCTATATTCTATTTATCCTGATTTCTTAACCCTAGCACAGTACCTGGTACATAAAAGATGCTTAATAAATATAAGTATAAAGTATTATAACAAGCCCAAAAGCCATGTGTTATAGATGATAATTTTATCAATGGCCATTACATCAGTTAAATCACCCCACAGGTCTCTACAGGAATTGCAGAACAAGCAGTCACTTCCTATAATTAGATATTTTATTTTTTAAACAAAAATCTAAAGTGCTAATGATCAGCTCTAGAAACATCTCGGAAAAAAAAAATAATAAAGTGCTAATGAGAATTTATTGTTTTAGGTGATTGATGAGATTTATCGTGTGTTGAGGTATGTCAATTCTACCAGAGCCCCTCAGCGAGCTCATGAAGTACTTCAAGAATTAAGGGATATTTCTTCCATGGCAATGGAATACTTTGATGAAAAGATTGTTCCAATTCTAAAGAGGAAATTACCTGGATCAGATGTGTCTGGAAGACTCATGGGCTCTCCTCCAGGTATGTCTTGTTTATAATATATTCACTTTATAATAATGTTTGTACATAGTTTCATAACTTCTTTTTTTTCCCACTTAACCATATATCTCAAACTTTTCTGTGTCAATAAATATTTATTTGCAACATCACTTAATGACAGAATGGATTATAGATTAGAACTATTTAGGAACATTTGTTTCTAGTTTTATAATATTTAACCTATACTCTGAAGAACAATCTGAACAATCTTATGGCTAAATCTTTGAACATATCCACAAGTATTATAAAAAAAATGTTAGAAGCAGAATTGCTGAATGAAAAGTTAGTCCTTGACTAACAGTGGGATTACATTCAGATAAGCCCATTGTAAGTTGAAATATCATAAATCAAAAATGCATTTAGGCCGGGCGCTGTGGCTCACGCCTGTAATCCTAGCTCTTGGGAGGCCGAGGCGGGCGGATTGCTCAAGGTCAGGAGTTCAAAACCAGCCTGAGCAAGAGCGAGACCCCCGTCTCTACTATAAACAGAAAGAAATTAATTGGCCAACTGATATATATATATAAAAAATTAGCCGGGCATAGTGGCACATGCCTGTAGTCCCAGCTCCTCGGGAGGCTGAGGCAGAAGGATCACTCGAGTCCAGGAGTTTGAGGTTGCTGTGAGCTAGGCTGACGCCACGGCACTCACTCTAGCCTGGACAACAAAGTGAGACTCTGTCTCAAAAAAAAAAAATGCATTTAACACAACTAACCTACCGAACATCATAGCTTAGCCTAGCCCACCTTAAACATGCTCAGAACACTTACTTTGGCCTGCAGTTGGGAGAATCATCTAACAGAAAGCCTATTTTATAATAAAGCATTGACTGTCTCATGTAATTTATTGAATACTGTACTGAAAGTGAAAAACAAAATCAAAATATCCTAAGTGAAACCATTTTAAGTTGGGGACCATCCATCTGTATGTTTTGTTTATGTTTCTGATGAGTTAATTCATTTTTTAAAAACAAATATACTAGATAAAACCCAAAAATTTTCTTCATGGAAATATTCAGAGTGGCTTCAGTGAATTCAGAGTGTCTTAATGCTGCTTTAAAAGACAAGACTTCATTGCAGTGACTTGGCAGTACAAAATAAAAAAAATAAAATAAAATAAAAGACAAGACTTCAGCCGGGCGCAGTGGCTCACACCTGTAATCCTAGCTCTCTGCGAGGCCCGTTTGAGTTCAGGAGTTCGAAACCAGCCTGAGCAAGAGTGAGACCCATCTCTACTATAAATAGAAAGAAATTAATTGGCCAACTAATATATATAGAAAAAAAATTAGCCGGGTATGGTGGCGCATGCCTGTACTCCCAGCTACTCGAGAGGCTGAGGCAGGAGGATCACTCGAGCCCAGGAGTTTGAGGTTGCTGTGAGCTAGGCTGATGCCACGGCACTCACTCTAGCCTGAGCAACAAAGTGAGACTCTGTCTCAAAAAAAAAATAAAATAAAAACCAGCCTGAGCAAGAGCAAGACCCCGTCTCTACTTAAAATAGAAAGAAATTCATTGGGCAACTAAAAATATATAGAAAAAATTAGCCGGGCATGGTGGCGCATGCCCGTAGTCCCAGCTACTCGGGAGGCTGAGGCAGGAGGATCTCCTGAGCCCAGGAGTTTGAGGTTGCTGTGAGCTAGGCTGATACCACGGCATTCTAGCCCAGGCAACAGAGTGAGACTCTGTCTCAAAAAAAAAAAAAAAAAAAGAATGTATCAGTCACGGAAAATATAGTTATTTAGATATGCAAGGAGAAAATTAGCATGACGGGTTTAGGGTATGAATGGATCCATCTGGGTCTTTTAGAAAACCTTCAGGAGATAAGGTTAAAAAAGAAAGGTAGGTTCCTGGTTTAAAATGGTGATTTTTATGCCCATGTTACATTTTGATTATTCCTAAAAGAGAACAGGTCCAAAGCCTTACTGAGCCATGGCAGAAATTCTTCATACTCATAATGTGTGATATAACCCCTTCTTTGATAGAGTCTCCTGCTGTTTGGCTAAAGTTGAAGTCTTTGCCTATATAGTTAATTACAAAGGGAACTTAAGAACATGATACAGGTTGAGTATTCTTTATTAGAAATTCTTGGGAGCAGAAGTGTTTCCAATTTCAGATTTTTTAGATTTTGGAATATTTACATTACAGTTAATAGTTGAGCATCCCTAGTTCAAAAATCCAGAATGCTCCAGTGAACGTTTCCCTTGTGCTTCACATCATCACTCAAAAAGTCTTGGATTTCGGAGCATTTCGGATTTCACAGTTTTTGGATTAGGGATGCTTAACCTCTTAGGTCTATGCTTTTAACTTGAATTTTTATGCTTATTTCTGTGAATTAGATAGAAAATAATTCTAATTTTACTATTTGTATTCTTACTAGGTCCTAAAAATGTTCTATAATATTTTAAATCCAAATTTATGCCATTAATGTACTTCTTCATTTTCTGGCATTCCCTGCATGTGCAGAAGAATCAGAATTCAAATTCATTCATAGTTAAAACAATGTGTCTGATTAACCCATTAGACCAAGTGGATTGCAAAGAAGAAATTATCAAAAGTTGATATTCTAAGCATATCCCATTTTAAAATAATTTTAAGTATCATTGGTAGGGAAACATTTTAAGTAATTAACCCTTTTACACTGTATCTCCACAGTTCCAGGACCATCTGCAGCCCTAACAACAATGCAGCTCTTCTCCAAGCAAAACCCTTCAAGACAAGAGGTTACCAAACTCCAGCAACAGGTTAAAACAAATGGTGCTGGCGTGACTGTTCTCAGGCGTGAAATTTCTGAGCTTCGCACCAAAGTGCAAGAACAGCAGAAACAGCTTCAAGACCAAGATCAGAAACTGCTAGAACAGACCCAGATCATAGGTGAACAGAACGCACGGTTGGCAGAGCTGGAACGCAAACTACGAGAAGTAATGGAAAGTGCAGTGGGAGGAAACTCCTCAGGGTCTGGGCAGAATGAGGAGTCTCCTCGGAAACGGAAAAAGGCCGTAGAAGCCATAGACTCTCTAAGGAAATCTAAACGTCTTCGAAATAGAAAGTAAATTGGAATGTGGTTCTAGCTCCAGAGGAAGACATGGCTTAGTGGCTTAAGCAGTTACGCATTTATCAGGATACTGTGAGCAGCACGGTGTCCCCTAGGCTTCTAGGCTTTCAGAACACAAAACTTGAACTTTTACCATTGGGACATTCTTTTCCCGCTTCTCCTGGTTGAACTGATGCACAGAATCTTTTTACTTTGCAATAGATTTGTACTAACAAGACCTGTTCTATCATGTTTTGAGGAGTTAACTTTTTTCTGTGCAGATAATGTTTAAAGTAAGTTAATTTGTTTCTGCATATATGCACATCACGTTAGGATCTTAAACCCAGTCTTGACAGACTGGATGTTAAGTTTAATACAGAAAATGTCCTGTTCACTTGAAAGAAAAGATCTACTTTTTAAATGGACACTATCTTATTTCTTTTCTTTTTAAAGTTGTCTTTTTTGTTATAAGTGACCTTTGTCTGGAATGTCTGAAGAGTAGTTAATGCTTTTTGGTATTGAAGTAATGGGTAACTAAAACGGACTTCCATAGTACTGACTGTAGAAGGAGCCTCCTACAGTATTGACTATATATTTTTATAAACTACTGGCAAGGGACTTACCCAGTTGTTATATACATGTTTTCAATTCTCTTTTGGGGCCATGTCCTACATTTGCATGGATGGATGCATGCGTTGCCTAGTCAACTCACTTAAAAAGCTCTTGCACTGGTATTGATCTTGAACCTCTGTACTTCTCCACTTTTTACAGCAGCATCTTAGTTTATTTAAGCACTTAACATCTTCCACCGCAACAGCTTGCCTCTAGAGGAGGAATTGTCAGTCTGTTTGTCCTCCAGTTTTATAGGAACAAGAGACTCTTTAAAGCCCATTGCTTTATCTATTCTCTGTAGAGTTCAGGTACACTGGCTAAGGCTTCTAGAACCCCAAATTCAAGGCTCTTCTTATCAATAGTGGACCTCTGGGAGCTAGTACTGTGCATTACTCACCACTGTGTGTGCTCGTTGATCACATGTGAGTAAGTAGGGGACCCGACTTATAGGATGTAGTTTTGCCATTGAAGGAAAAGTTCATTGAAGAAAATTGTACCATGAAAAAAGCATTTTGATTATTTCATTTCTGGGGGATGACCTGAAGAAAGCTTTTTAATATTAATTTCAAGCTTTTCTTATCCTACAACTTTAAACAAAAGCTTTAATTTCATTTGCACTCCTGTTTTGAGCTTGTAACTGGAAAAGCATGTCTTGCACTGTCCAGCCTTCTGAGTGGTCACTTTAACAACCTCCAAATGGTGTAGAGTGGTTACTTTCCCCAGCTGTGTATTTTTTGAGACATTTAACTATCACTGTCCTAGTTTTATTTTAATGTACTAAATTATGTAGTTATTTGACTGTTACTTTCTTTTAAACAACTGTTGCCATGGGCTTCAGTTATTTAAAGTAAATTTAGGTATAATAGAGAAAATTATCCCTTTCCAGGTGGGAGTTTGACACCTGTATTAAAACCTAAGGTTTTGGTAAGTACCTTAGTTAAATAAAAGCACAAGGTTATCACCTTTTTTATCCGTCCAACGTGACATGGTTATGCATCCTTTAGATTAACCTCACCAAATGAAACTTTTTTTTTTTAATTTTTAACTTCTTTTATTTTTTTTATTTTTATTTTTTTACACACCCACTGAACTAGTCCAGAGACAAATGAAACTTTTTTCTATCTGTTTTTAATTATTGTCCTTACATAATATTGTCCTTAGGTTTTGATCTATGTCTAACTTTGAAATTCCATTTACAATGTAGTGTGTTTTCAATGAAAAACCATAAAGTAACATCCAAGTGTTTCATGGTTTGTTGGGAAGGTAATTTTAAAATAAAACAATTTCCAAAAAACATTTGTCAGCCAAGGTCATCCATAAAAGTCCCTGTCTGGAACTCATTTTCTCAGCAGTTCTCATTTTTTTAATCATAGGATTTAGCCATATTATAAGTTTGGAGGAGGCCTACTGGAATACCCATGGCCTTTAATAGTCTGCTTTTCTGGTAATTAGGAAGACTTTTTTAAAAAGTATCAAAGTATATGTTTACAGGTTTACAAACTATGATCCTTATGCATCAAAGGGATATAGCCTCAGATTATTCTTTAATAGTTAATGAATTATTAAGTTTCCTGAATTTCTTTTTAAACTATATCTAGATATCCTAGATGTATGTATAGTCTTCCACTAGTTAACATGAGTATATGGCTTTCACAAATAAGCAGTCACACTATTAGAAGGTGGATACTCTGTTCCAAAATCCAAATTTTTATAGCATATGCTTATAATCACCTGTCCATGAAGCTAATGAGTTGCACTTGTTAATACATGAATGTTCCATATAGTAGGAGAATAAAGCACTACAGTTCAGTTGTTCAAGTCTTAAATCTTAGACTAAAACATGTTAGGATATTGTCTTCACCATTAGGACAGTTATTTGAGAGCTGTTCTGCTTGTTAATGGATAGCATATGGTATTTAAGGCTTAACAAATCACAAATTATTTTGATCAGCTAAAACTGACATATGTACAGAAAAACTGTAAATTAACCTCCTGAAAGAGCCATCCTGCCCTGCATTTTACATGTTATTTAAATGCTGTGTGTTAATATTGTGTTGTTGTAATGCAACATTTCTTAAAGTATTCCCATTGTTTTCCTTGGCTGTTTTTCAGAGGAGACTTCTCTATTTTAATGGGTCATTCCCACGTATAAATTTATTGTGGTACAACACTACACACATGGATAAAAATGTGAAAAGGCATGTATAAGAAATGAAGAGGACTGGTCCCACACCCAACCCCAAGCGGATCCTCTGCTTATCTCTCACTTGGACTTGGCTTACTTGGTTTTCACATATTCTGAGGTTATAGAACCTGTTTTTCAAATTCCTCTTTTGATGTACAGAGCCTAGAAATAATGGGGCAAACAAAAATGTATTCAGAATAATTATACTGTTTTAAAGACTATTGGGGTGCCATCAGGTCTAAAGCCACTGGTTTTGGAAGTAACTTTTTTTTGTAAAACGTGTTTTTTGGAGTACTGAACTTTACAGGGGTTTGCCTTAATCTCTATTGAGTAGTTTCAAGTTGTATGCGCTATTACTCTACATGTTAAAATGTTAAAATATTCTATGTAGCCCTAAAGGTGGGTAAAACAGAGTATAAGTAATGCCTAAATAAATAAGCTAAAAGGTGTCACTACAGCTGGATTTTTGAGAGAAAATGGACATATAAAAATAGGCTATGTGTAATAAAAATAATGGCACCTTAAGATTGCACTATTTTATGCATTATTTTATATGCCATTTCATAGCCTGCACTTTAATCTCCAAAGAAACAATGTGTGATGTCCCAGTTGTTCCTTATTATTAAACTTTTTCTTAAGACAGGGCACTTAATTCTATTTTACTATACTGAATTAGTTTCTTAGAGGTGAATTCCTTTTCTGAGTTCTCTATTTCCTTAGCCATAATATTTTCTAGGATCTGGGAACTCCCTATCTTATCTATTTCTAACGGCATAAGACTTTAATTTAATGTAATATAAATCTCATACTTGGTGATTAGCACATTCTTATATCCTGCTCTAGCAATGAGTACCCATTTATTATCCTTATCAAACTCTCTAAAAATGTATGCTGTGAGTAAGATTTGAAGCCAGGAATAAAAAGCATTCAGAAAGGAAACGTCCTGTATGATACAGTCTCTTGGAAATGGCTGATTCTGACAAGAAACCCAATTTGATATTCTGTCCAATTCTTTGATTTGGGATCTATCTAGACTGCTTTAGTATACAAAAGGTTAAGTTAAAATTATTTTAAACTTCGATAGCCTGCCATATGAGGTGAATTTTCAAAAAATACTAAATCTATAAAATGAAACTAGCAATTGATTGCTGCCGACCTTGGTTTTAATTTTAATAGTAATACAGTTGTATTGGTGATAAATATGACAGACTTAAGTAATGTTCTTTTTGCAGATTCCCAAGAATCTTGGTTAAATTTCTAAAGTTCAGAAACCCAAATTTTTTCAATTGTGTCTGAAAAGAACCATGAGATTTAGAACCATACTGGTAATCTATTAGGTCCATTGCCAAAGTATACTGGTCCATATTCAAAGCTATACCAAAAGGTTAGAAGTGTTTAAAATTCCTTTATGTGGTACCATGTCTGTTTACCTGTGCTTATGAGCAACGATAAATTATTAGTTTACCTTCTGGAATTTTAATTGTTATAACCTAATCAATCATTGGAAAGTGAAAATCACCTCCCAGTCACACAACAGGGTACATAAATAAATGTGTTGTTACCAGTGCTATTTGTTTTCTTTGTATTTCATGCACAAAAGAATACGGAGCTCTGTTGTTAACATACCATATTAATAGCTACTGTCTTCTGCAGCACTGTACTCTGTGTTTTACACATGTTGTAGTCCTCACAGCCACCTTGTAAATCAGAATTTACCCTCCTTGGAAGTTGAACTGAGGCCAAGTAACCTATCCACACTGTTATACATGTAAGTGACTTAAGTGGGATTTGACTCAGACCTCCGAAGCTCATGAACTTCCTACTGCACTACTTCCTAAAAAACCTGGGGACAGTGAAACTCTAAACTTCATATAAGGATGATTGTTCCATACATCCACTAAATGCAGTCAGTGCCAGAATCACTAATGCTAGGAAAGCAGCATGGGGAAGGAACCCAACACTAGGAAAAGCTGGGCTTGCGGGAAGCAACTTTTAAAGGTTTTTGGCAGTAGATTCACCCTAGGTGAGCAGGTAGAGACAATGTTTTAAGCCTTCTAGAACCTGTAACCTTAACTAAGAGAATCCTAGCAGTAGATGTGGTTTGAGGTCACTAACAGGTCTAAAGTCACCTGACTATAATATATGCTGCTGGTCAATACAAAAGTAGTGACCACCAATCCTTTTGCTCTGCTAGGGAAGAATATTGGTTCTCTTCAAATTGTCTTCCAGCTCCAAAACTAAATACTCAAAATTTTAATGAAATAAAATCATATAAATCAATTTCATCGATTTCTTAATCCTTTGCACTCGGATGTTGAGTGTGACTCGACACGGTTAGCAAAAGTTATAGAGATTAAAATTACTCTTTGAATGTATCAATAATTTGAAATATAAAAAAATCCAAACAAATAAGTTTGTATGAAAAGAAACTCCAGTTTTATTCTACTGCCATGCTTTGTAAAATCTGGGGTATTTAAAAAAATTAAGGCCCAGGGTGGTGGCTCACGCCTGTAATCCTAGCTCTCTGGGAGGCCGAGGTGGGCGGATTGCTCGAGGTCAGTTCGAAACCAGCCTGAGCAAGAGCGAGACCCCGTCTCTACTATAAATGGAAAGAAATTAATTGGCCAACTAAAAATATACATACAAAAAATTAGCCGGGCATGGTGGCACATGCTTGTAGTCCCAGCTACTCGGGAGCTGAAGCAGAAGGATCACTGGAGCCCAGGAGTTTGAGGTTGCTGTGAGCTAGGCTGACGCCATGGCACTCTAGCCAGGGCAACAGAGTGAGACTCTGCCAAAAAAAAATTAAATCCCAAAAGGAATCAAGAAAAAAGCAAATGAGTGCAAAGGGTTAAAGGTGTAACCATGATAGGGAATTACTGAAAACAAAATTCTCTAGGAAAAAACAAACTTCTCTAGTAAGTGCTGTAACCCCATCCTTTCCACAACTTGGATGTTCAGAAGAGATCACATACCTTTATGCTGAAGGGTGAGGGTGACAGCAGTGGTATCAATTGTCCCAACACCATCTCTGCATTCTAGTCATTCAGATAACATAGCCCAGAAAATAAAGGCAGTTGCTGTGCAGACCAGTCTTCGGAAGGTAGATCAGGGTGGAAATCTTTTTTTTCATATTCTCCAAGTGGCTAAGTTGCTTTGTAATACATTACATTAGTAGAAAACCAGGATCTTGACCAGTATTTTTGCTTTGTCTTCTCTAAAAAAACAAAAATCTTTTATGAACTTCATCATGTGAACTCCTGAAATGATTCTTACAGGCTCCATTAAAGATAATGTTTTTCCAGAAAAGCGTGTCTCAATTTGCTGGGATACATTCCTCTGGTTTTTGGCGAATCATTTATTTCCTCAAAGCAAAATTAAAGTGCCAGGCACGGTGGCCAGGTATGGTGGCACCCGCCGGTAATCTCAGCTACTTGGGAGGCTGAGGCAGGAGGACCTTTGAGCCCAGGAGTTTGAGGTTGCTGTGGGCTACAGAGTGAGACTCTGTCTCAAAAAAAAAATTCAGAGTAAATTGTAAAAAGCAAAAATTGGAGTGGTGTTTGAGCACAAAAATGCAAATAACTAGAAAGAAAATAAAACAAATGAAAGATGAACTTCTCAAAATTCAATAAATTCTCTTCCTAGAAACATAACTAAATACCTTTCAACTTCCTCAACTTTTCTCTTGGGTGCTTTTAAATTTTTTCCACCTTTGAATTGGACAAAAGTCAATTTTGAACGAACTGATTTGTGTTTGTGAAGTGTCAATGTAAGTAGTAAAATTGGCTCCTGGAATGCAAGACCTAAGGTGGACCGTTCTGTGTTAAGGAATACTCTTCCCTTTTTCTTTTCTTTTTTTTTTTCTTGAGACAGAGTCTCACTCTGTTGCCCGAGCTAGAGTGCCATGGCGTCAGCCTAGCTCACAGCAACCTCCAACTCCTGGGTTCAAGCAATCCTCCTGCTTCAGCCTCCCGAGTAGCTGGGACTACAGGCATGCGCCACCATGCCCGGCTAATTTTTTCATATATTTTTATGTGGCCAATTAATTTCTTTCTATTTTTAGTAGAGATGGGGTCTCACTCTTGCTCAGGCTGGTTTTGAACTCCTGAGCTCAAACAATCCTTCTGCCTTGGCCTCCAAGAGTGCTAGGATTACAGGCGTGAGCCACCGCACCCAGCCGACCCCTTCCTTCTTAAGGCCAAGCAAAAGAGGATTCCTCGGTGGGGGTGGGGGCGCAGCGTGTGGGAGAGAATAGCAGGAAAGGGGGCAGGCTGCTCTGTAGAAAACCAGTTTCTATAACCCCAGGCACTGCTGTAGCTGCCTTCCGCTCCCAAAGCGTGCTAAAATGCTGCTTGTGTCCACCTCGCAAGAGAGACAGACTGAATGCAAGGGGTAACAGTCCCAGCACCAGGTAAGCATGTAATAGACAGCGGCAGTATCTATATATGTAAGATATGACTATGCAGAGCTACAGATGTGCATACATGCACAGGTACTCCACAGGTGGAGGGATGCACTGTGGTTGGTGGGTCTCCAAATGTAGCTTTCAAGGAGTTGACAGTGCATTGGCTGGCTGCATGGGTTTACTTCAGTCTCTGCTCTAAGAATATTTAAATATTTCAGTGTGGCCGGGTGCGGTGGCTCACACCTATAATCCTGGCACTCTGGGAGGCCGAGGCGGGCAGATTGTTTGAGCTCAGGAGTTCAAGACCAGCCTGAGCAAAAGCAAGACCCTGTCTCTACTAAAAATAGAAAGAAATTAATGGCCAACTAAAAATATATATAGAAAAATTAGCCGGGCATGTGGTGCATGCCTATAGTCCCAGCTACTCGGGAGGCTGAGGCAGGAGGATCGCTTGAGCCCAGAGTTTGAGGTTGCTGTGAGCTAGGCTGACGCCATAGCACCTCTAGCCCTGGCAACAGAGTGAGACTCTGTCTCTAAATAAATAAATATTTGTGTGTGTGTGTGTGTGTGGTGAGTGCGCACCTCCTATGGCATGTTTTATTTTCAGTCCATCCTAACTTTGTCATCGATTAGAATCCTAGAGCAAAAAAAAAGCCTCGGAGATGATTTAAAGTAATTGAAGCATCCTTGAAGTGAGAGTGACTTGCATAAGGTCACACACACACTTTGATAATGGAAATTCACAGGACATTTTGCACTTCCCATACGGCCTCCTAGAGAGCCACAGGGGAGAAACCAGTTCTTGGAGTGCTCTCTCGTGTCTTCCTGACCTTGACCGGAACCTCCACCCGACGCAGGTGACTAATTGGCCTGGTAAGTGCCTGCTGCCTGCGCGTCCTAGCCCAATGTGTCCATTCCAGGGTCTCTGTCCATAAAACCTTGGGCTCAAGTCAGAGATCCTCCACCATAAGGACCTGGTGTCTTGGGGACGCCTGAGCCCCTCAGTCAGTCCTTCCATCCACAAGGATCCATAAGGCCCCGAGTCCTCTTGGAAACCTGATCCACTCAAGTCGCCCTTCCGCAAGGCTCAGAGCCTTTTCTCAAGGCTGATCGGTGACCTGGGACACCGGCTCCCATACCTCGTCCTTCCCTCCTGTGAGTGGGACACCCTTGCGGCCGTCAACCCTCCAATAATTTAAATCTAGCATGACTCTGGGCTGTCTCTTAGCCAATCTTGTGGCTCTGGGTCTCAAGCCTGATATTCAGCCCCAGCGACTCATTTTCTATTGTAACACCGCCTGGCCGATGTACAAATTAGACAATGGTTCACAGTGGCCAAAAAATGGGACTTTCAATTTCAACATCTTACAAGATCTTGATGACTTTTGTCACCGAAATGGCTAATGGGGGGAGATCCCTTATGTCTAGGCTTTCTTCCATCTGCGCTCCCGCCCTTCCCTCTGTCAGACCTGTGACCCGTCACAAATCCTCCTTGCACTGAGTCCTCCGCCGTCCGGGGCCTCTTCCACCTCTCAGCCGAAGGACCTGTTAGAAACCTCTTCCGCCTTCTCTGACCCGCCTGACTCCCCCACCTCTCCCCTGCTCGGCCTCCACCATATCTGGGTCCCCCTCCTCCTCGTGCCTCGCTGTCCTCCGCTACCGGCTCTCGCTGGCTCTCTGCCAACGTCCCCTGTCAGTCACCACACTGGATCCCACGCGGGGCCCTCAGGCCAAACCCTTCTCTGTCCCCTGAGAGAGGTAGCCAGTGCCGAAGAGGTTGTGCACGTCCGTGTTCCCTTCTCCCTCAGATTGAGAAGCGTTTAGGCTCCTTTTCTAACGACCCCACGGCCTACACCAAAGAGTCCCACTACCTTACAAGCACATGATTTGACCGGGCATGACATTTTTGTCATTCTGGCCTCTACTCTTACTCCTGAGGAAAAGGAACGTGTCTGGACGGCGGCTCAGGGACATGCCGACCAAGTCCATCTAATGGACCGCACCACGCCAGTCGGGCCGAGGCTTCCCACGCAACAGCCAAACTACAACTGTCAGCCAGACACCCCCGCCGGCCGAGCCCGCACGCTGCAACGCGCTCCTGCCGGCCTCCAGGCCGCTGCCCATCGGGCCGTTCATTACGATAAGCTTAGAGAAGTCACTCA